ATATAATTTTTTAACAGCTAAAGCATATTTGAATTATTTTATAGCAATTTTATTTGATATATTTCATCTAAAATAAATAAGTCTTTAATAATTTAATAATATTTTTTATTTGCTATAAAATGTTACACACGTTGTATTGCTTTTCTGCTTACTTTGTTATAATCTTATTTATATTATTATTATAACATAATATTACAAAGGCATTCAGTAAAATAATGTTAATAACGCTAATACTTGGAATACCAGCTACTATAATTTAAATATTTTCTAAATTTATTTTTTAAAAAAAACAACTATTTTTTTTAAAATCCTTTCAAAGCGAATAAATGGATAAAAACTAAAAACTCAAAGGATAACATTTTTTTTTAAATTTTTTTTTACATATTTATAGAATTTAAAACATATGTTGCCATTTGAAAAAGTGATGTCCTGCCTTTTTTTTGGGGGTATAAGGGTTGGAGATACAAATTTTTACAGTATTGAAAAATTTAGTACAATATGTATCTAAAAGTATAGGAAATTAGTTTTTTTTAATGTTCCTATTTTTTGAGAAAATTAGTGTCTTAACCAAAATGAATCACTCTGTAAATATATAAATTTTTTATTGATTCTTAATCATCAGATATTTATAATCAGATTTTTTATGAAATTAAACTTTGTGTTCATTAACAATTTTCAGCTTATAGAAGAGGCGTTCGAGGGTTGTAGAAAATTGGCGTTAATAGAATACGATGTCGACATTATTGAAGAAAGAGTTGGACTTGACGATTATTACTTATACATGGGTGACAACATTCAAGAGTGGGGTTTTGTAAAATCATATTTCGAAACCTATAAGGAATGGACCTCTTATTGTAAATATTGTTTATACACGTTATATGTCGTTAATAATATATTTTTTTTTTAAAGTAGTATTTGGTTTTAAGAAAATTATTTTCATGCAAAATAACCATATAATATTTAATATACTATTAAATGTGGTAAGACCCAAAAGTATGCTCAATTAAAGTAAAATTAAAAACAAAATGACCATCCCTTCGCCCGAGCACAAATTTAGACAAATAAAAACACACTACTACAAAAACAATATAATTTCAGCTGCACATCGAAGCTAAAATAAATTATGTAGTTGACAACTGCAACATATCATGCCTCTATGATAATATATATTATTTATAATTAAGTTCATTGTTTTTGTGTTTTAGTTTCCGTAACATCAGAATTATTTCGTGAGCTTTTTAAAATACATTGTGAAAAATTAGGAGTGCCTGTTGCAAAAATTGCTGAGCAAAGAAAAGCCGCATTGAATTCAAAGATTACAAAGCATGAATATCTTCAGTGGAAAAGTAAATTGAACGGATACCTCCAAGTTAATGTAAATCGTTTGGAACGTTCATGCAACTTTGAGCAATTTGATCCAAGCCAAAAAAAATCAGGCAAGCGTAATAAAAAATTACTTCCTAAAGAATAAATTAATATGTCTAATAAATGTTATAATTTTTTTTTTAATCTCTTAAATTGTTATTTAAAAAACGTTTCAAAATATAATATGTCATAACGACTTTAATCATTCCAAATTCTCTGTTTCTTTTCAAATAAACACTTACCTATTACTTACTAATTGTATATTATTATTTTTATTTGTAAGAAAAAAGAAAAATTACTATAATTTTTGTAGTAATTTTGAAACGGTCAAATTTGTACGAAATTGCCATAGTAATAGCATTATTAAGTAAAACATCTACATCATAATTAATATAACAGCTCATTATATCAAAAAATAAATAAAATCCCATCTCAAGCTCATCATCGTTCGAGTTGCAAAAAAAGGTGAAGTGTGCGAACATCACTCTGTTAGTTATATTTTTTTTTGTTCGTCTGTTAGCCATTAATTCGTAAAACAGTTGTTTAAAAAAAAAATGAGTATCTCCATGCCCCGACCCTATTGTGCTGGCATTTTACACTCGATATTATTGCAAATAGAAAAAGTCAAACCGAACTACTCCTCGCTGACTTTGTCCTTGAAGTTGTTTATGCCTTTATCGCATGAAAAATACTTAAATACAAAATTCTACATATAAATGAAGTTTAAAAAAAAAAACGAGCTGATCTTATCATGTGCGAGAACTTTAATGAGAAACAATTAAAATATTATATTGTTGATATTATTGGTATTCGGTAATTTTGAAGGACTGTATAGAAGGTTTTAACAAATCCAACACGGAAACTAATTATTATAACAAACTACTATTCAGACAAAAACGAATATACATCCACAAATAAGGTCTTGCCTACTGGCCAGCTCTCTAGTAAGGATTCAATAATATTGGTGTATAAACTTATTAACCAACAGCTATAATAAACAAAAAATGGCCTCTCTTGAAGTTTGTGCTAATACTCTCTTTGCCAACGAGTCCAAAAATGTTGTTGGATTTGCTGGAGCATAGGCCTTCGTTTTTGAGTACTGGTGTGCGCTGAACCTAAATCGTCTATGGGACCAGGAACGGTCACCAACGGCTCCATGGTAAGGAAATGGCCAGCTGTCAGGGGTGGGAAATCATTCGGATCGTTCGACATTGGACTCCAAGGGCACGAGTTGAGCGTGGCTTCTACCTGATGAAGAACTGTATTTAGTTCTTCATAGGTAAGAACACTGTCTTCAATCACCATGTAAAGCAATGTCTTTGCAGACTTAACTGCTACTTCCCACAACCCCCCCCCCCCATAAGAAGGACCACTGGAAGATTGAAGTGCCAGCTTATTTGATGCTTTACAAATTGTTCAACGAAGTCGGATTCTCTGAGTATGGTCTCCACTGAGTCCCGACGAAATTCGTACCGCAATAACTATAAATATGGGAACAGTGTTTTTCTCCGTTTTGGGAACCTCTTCCACTTCAAAAAATTGTTGTAATGTATGATTTTTGGATTCCAGTGAACATAAAGTAATAATAATTTTATCATTTGGCGCATTGGTAGTTTTCCCTATTAAAACCCAACCGATAACTGTGGCTATAGCTATTGGTTGATCTATTTCTCCCTTCTTTTTATCACCTCAAAAGTAGACGTGGAAAGATCTCAGCACCCAATAACGTATCAACAGGCAAAGCTTCAGCGTAGGAAGGATCGGCTAACTTTAAACCAGCGATGTGTGGCCATGACTGCGGCCAAACCATTTCCGACGGAACTGAGCTGGTAATACGTGTTAAAACCAAAACATCCACACTGAACGTAGGATTCTATTGGGAAATGTATAAGTAGATGTCCTAACTGATTTTTACACACTTGACACGGAAACGTCTTCTTGTCTGTTTTATCTCCCTGCTTCTCTGAGTACACTGAAGCCGATTTTTTTCCGGTTGACCACTAAAAAGTACTGTGTTTATTTTAACTTATTAAAAGACTACGGCTCTTTTAAATTACATTAGAAACTTCAAAGTCCAATCAAATTATATTTTACTAAAAAACGAAAAATAGATTAACATAAATGTCTAAATTTATTATTCGTACAAGTTGCTATGGGATATTGTAAAATCACCCTTCTCTAAAATCCTCTTGCCGAAGGGGGAGAAATTGCAATGACCTTGAAGTAACGTTGTATTACAAAAAAAAACCAAAAACAGTTCACGTAAATTATTGGTCGGGTTGCCCATGAATTTCTTAAGACTTTTTTTGAAAAGTTAAAGAGACTTGATAAGAGACGTGTACAATGGAAAATGGTCTTTGGCAAAAGTGGTGTCATTCCGCTTAACTTTATAAGTTGAAACAGACAAAATGTCTAGAGGTTAGTCGGCTAAATGGTCTGTTATGGTTTACCTTTGTGAAACAAAATTTGTTCACAACAAGTTTGCATAACATTGAAAAAATTTCGTGATCTTTTTAAAATACATTGTGAAACATCAGGAGTGCCAAAGGAGTTCTTTGTTGCAGTAACTGCTGAACAAAGAAAGGCCGCCATGGATGAAAAGGAAGGAAATCATGAGTTCAAAAGCAAATTGCATAACTACCTCTATGTTCAATCAAAACGTATGGATCGTTCAGGCGGAGATTTCCGAAAAATGTTATTCTGAAAAATAAATTGATATGCCTAATAATGGTATAAATTATACCATTAAGTTAGGAAAAGATTAGGAAAAGATTCGACCTGATTTGGTCTAGCTGACCAACCTTTACCATAGGTGCACGTTGATTAGGAGGGGATGCTCAGATACCGGTTATGGTGTTGAACTATGACAATGTATCTGACGTACTCATGAATATCAATATGTGTAGTGTTATTCTAGTATATATTTATTGGAAAAGAAACGTATCTGCTAAGAAAGCTTTCTTAGCTTTCTTATCTGTACTCGCGTGTCCGTCCAACTCCGTCATTACCTGGACTAACTCCAGAGAATCCTTTAGGATCCAAGTGGAGGTGTAATACATATCATATAATATAGATATACTTATTTAACAAACCTGTTTCCTTTTTGTTGCACACTTGAGAGTTAAGTCTTTTTGAGGTATGACCGCCTGTTAAGCTCCTCGGGCGATATAGCAAATATATAAATGGGATATTTAAGTGCAGATACGGCTTAGCTATCCGTCCCGTCTTCCGGTCTACTAATTTAACCCAGGAAGATCTTGTAAGTGAAGATTTCCCAGTTTTAACAATGAAACAGTTTAGCCCTAGTTACTAATGCATGCCAATAGATAACTGATATTCTACTAGATATTTTAAATACATATTAAAACCCAGAGATTTATAATCTTAATGTTTGGTGGCATGGAAGTTAGATATATGTAAAATAAATAAATTTTCTGTAAAATGTAAAAAAAAAATACATTTACACACCTCGCTAAAAATTCGGTAGGTATGTTAGTATGGATTTTATACAACAAATAAACTTGTGTGTACTTATTTGCATAATTGTGCAAATATGCAAGTTTGTGCAAATAATGGAAAAAAAAAATTCAAAGATGTGTAATCGTACATTATTCGTTATTCGTTTCAATTCTATGTAAAGCAGGCATTCCAAGACGGTAAAATTCATTCGATTGGTCTCGTAGTTTAACTTCAGATAATACTTTATAGACTAACCACAATGTTCTTAAAGTTCTCTCTTTCGTTTCTGTTTTTTATCCTAGCGGTTAGCTGTATGCATACAGGCCAACCTGAAGGGAAAAATGAACCTGAAGCATCGGGTTCAGCTGTACCTGAAGAGAAAATTAATGTCACACCGGAGGATTTAGCGGTAATGTATACTATTTTTTCCAATATTTTTCAGAATCATTTATAAATAGAAAATTCTCAATTCAATGAAAAAAATATTTTGTTGAACGATGTATAATATAAAGTAAAAAGATTTCCTAAATAGCCATTTTTATTTGAAAAACTATTATCATTTTAGCTTGAAAATTTACAAATAAATGGGGAATCTGATGATGAGGTAATTAATATTATTTTTTAAAAACTCTTAGGCTATTATCAATAATTTGCTTCATGCTTGAATTATTTATAACATAAAGGTAAACATTTTCCTACATATCCATTCTTATCAAGGAAAATATTATTATTTTAGCTTAAACACTTACAAAATATAAAATTCTAGTCATAAATACTTGTAATCAACGAATTATTTAATATTATTTTTTAAAAAATGGTTTTAAAATATTAGATTAAAACTAGAGTCGTAACTTAATTATTCAAGTAAAATTCATGTTCTAAATTGTAAAATTCTGTTTACTTTGTTATAATCTTATTTATATCATTATTATAATATAATATTTTAAAAGATTTCAGTAAAATAATGTTAATAACGCTAATACTTGGAATACCAGCTACTATAATTTAAATATTTTCTAAGTTAATTAAAAAAAAACAACAATTTTTTTTAATCTTATTTGTAAAAAAATACTAAAATTCAAATATTTACAAAGTCATGACAAGCAAATAAATGGATGAAAATTAAAAACTCAAAGAATAACATTTTATTAAACATTTTATCTTTATAATTATGGAATTTAAAACATATGTTGCTATATGAAAATGTCCTATTTTTTTTTCATTATCTGGTATATAGCTTGGAAATTTTCACAGTACTGAAAAATGTAGTACAATGTGTATCTAAAAGTATAAAAAATTAAATATTTGTTTATTAAATTTTTATAATATCCGAGAAAATTAGTGTCTTACCCAAAATGAATCACCCTGTATATATATATATATTTTTTTATTGATTCTTAATCATCAGGTATTTATTTAGGTCTAATCGCATTTAAATTTTATAATCAGATTTTTCTATGAAATTAAATTTGGTGTTGATTAACAATTTTCAGCTAATAAAAGAAGCGTTCGAGAGCATTAGAATTGAAGTGAAAAAAGAATTCAACGATAATTTTACAAGTGGAAATATTGGACATTATGATTATTACTTCTACATGGGTGAAAACTATATAGAGTGGGATTTTATATATTCATACTTAGAGAACCATAAACAAGGCCGTAGCGAATATTGTAAAAATTGTTTACACACGTTATTAGTCGTTTAATAATTTTTTTTTTATCTTCGATGCAAAACTGTATGTAAAAAAAATACCATATAATATTCAATATACTATTAAATGCGGTGAGACCCAAAAGTATGCTCAATTAAAGTAAAATTAAAAACAAAATGACCTCTTTCGTCCGGACACAAATTAAGACAAGTAAAATCACACTATTACAAAAACAATATAATTTCATCTGCACATCGAAGCTAAAATAAATTATGTAATTGACAACTGCAACATATCATGCCTCTATGACAATATATATTATTTATAATTAAATTCAATGTTTTTTTTGTTATAGATTGGATAGATTTTCTGACATTTCGTGATCTTTTTAAAATACATTGTGAAAAATCAGGAGTGCCTGTTGCAAAAATTGCTGAACAAAGAAAAGTCGCAATTGTTAAACATGAAAGAAATCCTGCGTTCAAAAAAGAATTCGCTACTTTCCTCCGTACTAAAGCTTATTCTTAGGTTCGTTAAGGTGGAGATTTCTGAAAAATTTCATTCTGAAAAATAAATTAATATGTCTAATAATGTTATAATTTTTTTTTTAAACCTCTTAAATTGTTATTAAAGAACATTTCAAAATATTATATGTCATAACGACTTTAATAATTCCAAACTCTCTGTTTCTTTTCAAATAAACACTTATTACTTACTGATTGTGTAATATTATTTTTATTTGTATGAAAAAAGAAAAATTACTATAATCTGTGTAGTAATTTTAAAATGGTCGAATTTGTAAGGAACTGCAACAGTAATGGCAATATTAAGTAGAACATGTACATCATGATTAATATAACAGCTCATTATATCAAAAAATAAATAAAAACACATCGTTGTAATTAAAACCTATCTCAAGCTCATCATCGTCGTTTAAGTTGCAAGATTTCACCCGGAACGGCAAACAAGAAAGTGTGTAAATAAAAACGTGGTAAAATAGGTAAAGTGTGAAAACGACACTCGGTTAGTATTATTTTTTTTTGCGTCTATTTACCATTAATTCTTATAACAATTGTTAAAATTAAAAAAATCTACATAAATAAAATTAAAAAAAAAAATATTAATATTTTATATTGTTAATACTTGAGCTTCGCTCATCTCAAGCTCATGTCCAGTGTTCAAAGTTCATTTTCTTATCAATGAGCGGAATTCGTATTGATAACTAATGAGAACGGCAGGTGACTGAGTGTTTTGGCACTCGCTCGCTACGATGGCTCGGCGCCGTCGCTTCGCTCTGCTAACTAAAAATATCTTAGGCTTGGAGACTACAGTCAAGGAGGAGGGTACTGGATTAAAATTAAATTTAAGTAAAGTTTTTTTTAAAAGTTAAAGAGACTTGATAAGAAGCTGGCCATTGGGAAAAAGTGTACAATGGAAAATGGTCTTTGGTGTCATCCCTCTTAACTTTATGAGTTGAAAACAGATAAAAATGTCTGGAGGTCAGTCGACCAAATGTCTGTTATGGTTTACCCTAGAGAAACAAAATTTGCTCAAACTTAGTATGTTGTATGTCAGTACACAGCGCAGCGGTTCCAAGGAGGGTACCCGCCAGCCGTGTCGAGCCAGCGCACTACGTTTTATAGTAATGCCGTTATAATTTATCGTACAATTTTTTTAAATTTAAATAGTCTAGAAGTTAGAAGGTTAAATATCAATTATCAAGTGTCCGGTGTTGCTTACTATATGGGTTAATTATTGTAATTTTCGGCCCAATACAGTACCTTTCACGTAAGATTTCTTGAAAAAATAGCTTAACAAACATAACTTATTTAATATACAGGTTGCTATAAGAGATTCCACAATCACTCCTCCCTAAATCCTGTTACCCAAGGGCGGAAAAATCACAATGACCTTGAAATATCATTGTATGGTAAAATTTTTTAAAAATGATTCCCATGGTTGGTTTTATCGTAACTTCAAAAAAATCGTCAACAAGTCATGTTGCCCTTGAAATTCTAAAGACCGTGAGTATTTGTCGTTCCCCGCTATTAAAATGTAAGTTTAACATAGGTATCCGAAAAATAGGCACAGTCTTTCGGCTTCGTATAATATGTTTAACACAAACGAGCAGTGTATTTCATTTATGCAAACGGTGCAAAATTTAAACGCACATCGAACCACACAAGTGTTTTTCTAAAGTAAAAGAATTATGTTTTCGAGTAAACGCTTAGGCGAGAATTCGGTAAACGATATATTTAATAAAAAAAACCAATACGCACGGATGAAGTGAAACTCCTTTATATATACTGGGTGATACATTAATGATAATACGCTTATTTTTTTTATTTTTTTGAAAACATTTTTTTACACAAACCGAAGTGTCTCCAATTACCAAAACTACAAGAATTACAGGTTTTAGTAGCAAATTTGAAGGTGCTTGTATATTATTGTCAGGTGTACGTTTTACAACGATACGTTATTTTGTTTTCATTTTCGATGAGCAAAAAGTAGTCAAAGTAAACGAATGTAGCCAAATAACGGCCGAAAACGTTCAGTATTTTCTCTAGTCTAAACAAAGGTCTAATAAAGGTCAAAGGGTCTAAAAAAGGTGGACTTCTTTAACTTAAACGCAACTCATACGCTTGATTTTCTTTTTAAATAAAGAATATTTTGCCGAAAATACAGAACAATCTTTAGCGCAATTGATATTTCGATTATTTTTTTTACGCTAACCACCAAAAGTAACGATAATTATGTAAAATATTAAAATTTGTGTTGTAGTGATTGTTTTTTTTTCATACAAATTAAAGTAGTATTACACAATTAGTAAGTAATAAGTGTTTATTTGAAAAGAAACAGAGATTTTGGAATTGTTAAAGTCGTTATGACGTATTGTATTTTGAAACGTTATTTTAATAACAATTAAGTGGTTTAAAAAAAAATTATAACATTATTAGACTTATTAATTAAATTTTTAGAATGAAATTTTTCAGAAATCTGCGCCTGAACGATCCATAGGTTCTGATTGATTAAAGATGTAATCATCCAATTTACTTTCGGGATCAGTACGGTTTTTTTCCTTTTCATCCATTGCGGCTTTTCTTTGTTCAGCAATTTTTGCAACAGGCACTCCTAATTTTTCACAATGTATTTTAAAAAGATCACGAAATTTTTTCAATGATATGGAAACTAAAACAAAAAAAACATTAAATAAAATTATAAATAATATATGTTATCATAGAGGCATGATATGTTGCAGTTGTCAATTACATCATTTATTTTAGCTTCGATGTGCAGCTGAAATTATATTGTTTTAGTAAAATCGTGTTTTTATTTGTCTAAATTTGTGTCCGGACGCAAGGGGCGATCATTTTACTTTTTTTTTTAGTCTCATTAAATTTATTTGTTTATTAAATAATATTATATGGTATATTTGAATGAAAATAATTTTCTTAAAAACCAAATACTACTTTACAGTTTCGCATCGAAGATAAAAAAAAATACTATTAAACGACAAATAACTTGTGTAAAAAATGTTTACAATAAACTGGCATATTTCCTTGCACATAGCTCTCGAAGTATGATCTTATAAAAACCCACTCTTCAACGTTGTCGCCCATGTAAAAGTAATATTCAAAAAGTCCAATATTATCATCTGTAAAGTGGTCGACGTATTCATTTTCCACGTATTTTCTTATACTCACGAACGCCTCATCTATTAGCTGAAAATTGTTAATCAACACAAAGTTTAATTCCATAAAAAATCTGATAATAAAATTTAAATACGATTAGAACTGATGATTAAAAATCAATAAAAAAAAATATATATATATACAAGGTGATTCATTTTGGGTGAGACACTAGTTTTCTCGGAAAATATGAACATTAAAAAAATACAATAATTTCCTATACTCTTATGTACACATTGTACTACATTTTTGAATACTGCGAAAATTTGTATTTCCAACTCTTATACCAAAAAAGAAAAAAGAGCAAGACATCACTTTTTCAAATGGCATCATATATTTTAAATGCCATAATTGTGTAGACAAAAATGTAATCGAAAATGTTGTTCTTTGAGTTTTTAATTTTCATCTATTTATTTGCTTGTCAAGACTTTGTAAAGATTTGAATTTTAGTATTCTTTTACAAATAAGATTTAAAAATAATTAACCAAAAAAATAGTGGTTTTTTTAAAATTAATTTAGAAAATAATTAAATTATAGTAGCTGGTATTCCAAGTATTAGCGTTATTAACGTTATTTTCCTGAATGCTATTGTAATATTATGTTATAAATATAATATAAATAAGGTGATAAGAATGTAAACAGAAAAGCAATACAACGCGTGTACCATTTTATAGCAAACATATTATATTTTAAAATATAAAATTTTAAAAAACCAGTACAGTGGGGTCGGGGCATAGTGAGGACGGAGCATAGTAGGGACGGAGAGATCACAGGTTTACAGGAATTTTTAAATCCTTTAAATAAAATCACTTTCCAAAAAACGCTTCGATGCAAATCGGTAGTTTGTTTTTTCAAGCCAGTACTGCCCGAACCAAGCACAGTATAAACCACCAGCAAAGTTAGAAAGTATTAAATTGAGGTGCTGCATTTACAATTAAGCATCAAAGCGTTAATTTAAAAGTGATTTTATTCGAGAGGACTAGTACAGTAGAGTATAGGCATAATGGAATCAAAGCAACGAGTGGACGGAGAGGTCACAGGAATACAGGAATTATTATAAATAATATAACGTGTGTACCATTTTATAGAAAATAGATTGTATTTTAAAATATAAAATAAAAAAATTATTAAATTATTAAAGACTTATTTATTATAGATGAAATACATAAAATAAAATTGCTATAAAATAAATCAAATATACTTTAGACGTTAAAAACTTACTTCATTATAAGTTTTCATGTTTTAATAAATATCATTTTACTCGAATGATTAAGTTACGACTCTAGTTTTAATCTAATATATTAGAACCATTTTTTAACAAACCATATTAGACAATTAATTTTGGTTACAAGTATTTATGACAGAATTTTATTTGTAAGTCTTTAAGCTAAAATAATAAAAAATTCCTAGAGAATTTCTTCTTAGGAAATTTTTTTCATTATATTATTAATGATTCTGAAAATATTGAAAAAAACCCACCAGTTTTAAAATAATATTATAAATTACCATTAAATCCTCCGGTGTGACTTCAGATTTCTTTTCAAGTACAGCTGAACCTAATGCGTCAGGTTCGGTTTTCCCTTCAGGTTGGCCTGTATGCATACAGCTAACCGTTAGGATAAAAAACAGAAACGACAGAGAGAACTTTAAAAACATTGTGGTTAGTCTATAAAGTATTATCTGAAGTTAAACTGCGAGTGAAATCGAATGAATTTTACCGTCTTTGAATGCCTGATTTACATAGAATTGAAACGAATAACGAATAATGTACGATTACACATCTTTGAATTTTTTTTTTCCATCATTTGCACAAAATTGCATATGTGCACAATTATGCAAATAAGTACACACAAGTTTATTCGTTGTATAAAATCCATACTAACATACCTACCGATTTTTTTAGCGAGGTGTGTAAATGTATTTTTTTTTTTACATTTTACAGAAAATTTATTTATTTCACATATATGTAACTTCCATGCCACCAAACATTAAGATTATAAATCTCTTGGTTTTAATATGTATTTAAAATGTCTAGTAGAATATCAGTTATCTATTGGCTTGCATTAGTAACTAGGGCTATACTGGCTTCATTGTTAAAACTGGGAAATCTTCGCTTACAAGATCTTCATGGGTTAAATTAGTAGACACAATGATAGGACGGATGGCTAATCCGTATCTGCACTTAAATATCCCATTTATATATTTGCTATATCGCCCGAGGAGCTTAACGGGCTAAAATAAATTATGTAATTGACAACTGCAACATATCATGCCTCTATGATAACATATATTATTTATAATTTTATTCAATGTTTTTTTTGTTATAGTTTCCATATCATTGAAAAAATTTCGTGAACTTTTTAAAATACATTGTGAAAAATCAGGATTGACTGTTGCAAAAATTGCTGAACAAAGAAAAGTCGCAATGGATGAAAAGGAAAAAAACCGTACTGAGTCCGAAAGTAAATTGGATGATTACATCATTAATCAATCAGAACCTATGGATCGTTCAGGCGCAGATTTCTGAAAAATTTCATTCTAAAAATTTAATTAATATGTCTAATAATGGTTTTTTTTAATCTCTTAAATTGTTATTAAAATAACGTTTCAAAATACAATACGTCATAACGACTTTAATAATTCCAAAATCTCTGTTTTTTTTTCAATAATCACTTATTACTTACTAATTGTGTAATATTACTTTTATAAGTAAAAAAAAATAAAAATCACTATAATTTGTGTAGTAATTTTAAAACGGTCGAATTTGTACGGAATCGCAACAGTATTAGCATTATTAAGTAGAACATGTACATCATGATTAACATAACAGCTCATTATATAAAAAAATAAATAAAAACCCATCGTTGTATGAACGGGCCGGGAGCAAACAATAATAGGTTGCTTTGCCCGGTCACCAACCGCCTATTACCGATCCGTTTATGAATATGTAATGTGTATATAACTCTACTGAAAGTGGGAGGTATCGCCTGTACAAAACCAGAGAGCTATGTGGTGAATTAGTGTGTTATGTGTGTACTTTGTGGGTGTGTAAGGGTCACTAAAAATAAATAAATAAATAAAACTCAAAATCCAATGCTTATAATAATATTATTCAATAAAATGTTTTGACGCTTTGGCTTAACAACATTTAAGTATGACAATATTTTATTGCCTCTTTGGCACAACAATATTGGGTAAAAAATGATAACAACATAGACCTCTTTGTTACAAAATAATTTAGTAAATAATAATAACAATATTAGCCCCTTTGGCACAAATTAATATTACACGGTAATGACTAGAACTATTAGGTAACGCTGTGGGAGCCGGTGTTTCAAATATTAAATAAATGTTATGGTAACTAAATTTTTACTAGAACAATAATTAATAATTCACTAAGATATAAAACAAACAGTTAATATTAGACTAGATCGAGCCTCCGTGGCTGACTAGATAATAAAAATGGTGCCTACGATTGACTTTATCCCTATCGACCTAACTGTCATTAAATAAAACAGAGGGTTAAAAATTCGTTCTAATAACTCACAATAGGAACCCAATAATATAAAATAAAACACAAATTCAGTAAAATAATAATTCAAAGGTACTCACACAACGAAGAAACGCAAACCGCTGGCTTGGTCTGCTACCTAAGTCTAAATAAAATGCTAAAACAAATAACTAATTAAATATAAAATTTAAAATGTCTTTATGACAATACCGCAGTTGACTAATAATACACGATTGAAAATGTCCTTATGGCAATAATACAATTCAACTAATAATACACCATTGAAACTGTACTTATGACAATTAAAATGCGGCTCAAAAAAATGCCCTTACGGCAGTAAAATACAAAAGTAAAATAAATCACACGGAAAGAAACACACAGAAGGTCTAGACAAATTCCCAAGTAGAAATTCTCTAGAAAACTATTATTATTTTAGGTAAAGACATACAAATAAAATTCTCGTCATAAATACTTGTAATCAAAATAATTGTCTAATATTCTTTCTTAAAAAAATGGTTTTTATTATATTATAGTCGTAACTTAATCATTCGAGTAAAATTCAATAAATATAATAAATGTTTAACCCAAAAAATGTATACACTTTACTACTTTGTAAATTACTAAGTATTATAAGTTCTATCACTCTATGATTTAATATATTAATTATTCGTATCCGAAAATCCGAACATTTATAGTAAATGCAAATTTTTTTTAACTTAAAGTATACGTTTTGTGCTGTATAAAAAAATGAAATAATTCTAGATTAATTTTTAAATATTTTTTTTATTTGGTTTTTAAAACATAAAAACATATAATGATGTAATTTTTTAACAGCTAAAGTATATTTTAATTATTTTATAGCAATTTTATTTTATATATTTCATCTAAAACAAATAAGTCTTTAATAATTTAATAATATTTTTTATTTTTTATTTTAAAATAAAATATGTTTGCTATAAAATGTTACACACGTTGTATTGCTTTTCTCTTAACTATCTTATCATCTAATTGATATCATTATTATAACATAATATTACAACAGCATTCAGTAAAATAATGTTAATAGCGCTTATACTAGGCATACCAGCTACTATAATTTAAATAATTATAACAACAAATTTTTTTGGTAAATTTTTTTTTTTTTAATCTTATTTGTAAAAAAATACTAAAATTCAAATATTTACAAATTCATGACAAGCGAATAAACGAATGAAAGTTTAAAAGCTCAAAGAACAACATTTTTTATTACATTTTTGTCTACATATTTATGGAATTTTATTACATATGTCGCCATTGAAAAAAGTGATGTCCTGCTCTTTTTCTTTTTTGCTATAAGGGTTGGAGATACAAATTTTCACAGTATCGGAAAATTTAGTACAATATGTACCTAAAAGTATAGGACATTTTTTTTTTTTAATGTTCATATTTTCCGAGAAAATTAGTTTCTTACCCAAAATGAATCACCCTGTAAAAATTTTTTTTTTTAATCTTATTAAAGCGAATAAATGGATGAAAATTAAAAAATCTAAGGATAACATTTTTTTAAACATTTTTGTTTACATATTTATGTAATTTAAAACATATGTTGCAATTTGAAAAAGTGATGTCCTGCCCTTTTTTTTGGGGTATAAGGGTTGGAGATACAAATTTTCACAGTATTGAAAAATTTAGGACATTGTGTACCTAAAAAAATTGGAATTTTTTTTTTTTTTTATGTTCATATTTTTGAGAAAATTAGTGTCTTAACCAAAATGAATCACTCTGTATATATATATTTGTTTTATTGATTCTTAATTATCGGGTATTTATTTAGGTGTAATCGTATTTAAATTTTATAATCTGATTTTTCTATAAAATTAAACTTGGTGTTGATTAATAATTTTCAGCTAATAGATGAAGCGTTCGCGAGTATTAGAAAATTGTTGAAAAAGAATACGACGATGACCTTACAAACGGAAAAATTGGACCTTATGATTATTACTTATACATGGGTGACAACGACAATGATTGGGATTTTATAAGACCATACTTAGAGAACCATATACAAGACCGTAGCGAATATTGTAAATATTGTTTACACACGTTATATGTCGTTAAATAATATTTTTTTTTATCTTCGATGCGAAACTGTAAAGTAGTATTTGGTTTTAAGGAAATTATTTTCATTCAAAATTACCATATAATATTTAATATACTATTAAATGTGGTGAGACCCAAAAGTATGCTTGATTAAAATAAAATTAAAAACAAAATGACCGCTCTTCGTCCGGACACAAATTTAGACAAATAAAAACATTATAATTTCAGCTGCAAATCGAAGCTAAAATAAATCATGTAATTGACAACTGCAACATATCCATGCCTCTATGATAATATATATTATTTATAATTACATTCAATGTTTTTTTTTTGTTTTAGTTTGCATAACTTCAGAATTATTTCGTGATCTTTTTATAATACATTGTAAAAAATCAGGACAGCCCGTTGCAGAAATTGCTGAACAAAAACAAATCGCAATGGTGAAAAAGGTTGGAAATTTTGCGTTCAATAGAAAATTTTTTGATTACCTCATTGTTAAATTAAAACCTACGGATCGTTCAGACTCAGATTTCTGAAAAATTTCATTCTGAAAAATTGACTAATATGTCTAATAATGTTATAATTTTTTTTTTTTCAAATATCTTAAATTGTCATTAAAAAAACTTTTCAAAATCTAATATGTCATAACGACTTTAATAATTCCAAATTCTCTGTTTCTTTTCAAATAAACACTTATTACTTACTAATTGTGTAATATTATTTTGTTTGTAGGAAAAAAGAAAAATCACTATAATTTGTGTAGTAATTTTTAAACGGTCGAATTTTTACGGAACTGCAACCGTAATAGCGTTATTAAGTAGAACTCGTACATCATGATTAACATAACAGCTCATTATATTAAAAAATATTAGTATATTATGTGTCTAGACACTTTCACTTTCAGGTAGGTATAGGAGATAAATGATAAGAGATACTTGATAAGTGATAAGTGATAATAGAGTGATAAAAATAGTTCAGCGCTTGGTACGGGCAAATTTTTGCAAAATCCTCATTTGAAGGTGCAAAACGGTGCACGTGTAATAATTGTCGGTTCAGTAATATTAGAATTATTTGTGCAATTTTAGTGCAATTCTAGTGCAATTTCATATCACGCCGGCACACCGTCACCGTCAGTTAG